AATAAAGTACAAGAACAATGTTTCGACCTTCTCCGGTCATCTTATTAACAAAGACACTGGTTAACAAAGGTTTGAAATTGACCGTTACAAGTGCCCAGTATTGGTCAGTTTGAAACTGTCTTTGTTAACCTGAAGATGACCTAAGAAGGTCAAAACATTGCTCTTGTACTTTATTCTAATTAAAGTTTTTAATAACCATACCAGCCGTCTCTGCTATACAGGGTGTAGGTTTCATTCTTTCACATAATCCCATAAAAACTGTACCATGTCACTGGTGATACCATACTTTCTATTACATATAATAGAAAAAAGCTCTGAACCAATTGTAAAGTTTAAAAGAATAAATAAATCAAGACATATATTATTATTATAAATAAACATTGTATACGAGGTGTGTGTTATAGAGTATACTTGTATTATTATATACACGCCTACGATTTATCTGTCTTGGAAAAATATACTATAATAATGGTTAATAGAGAGTTTACAAAAGAAAATTCTAGAACTTTCCATGACTCGTACTCAATTCCTGCTACATTGGATTGAAGTTGCATTTTTTGTCATTCTGTTCATCAAATGTGCCCATTTGCAACAATCTCAGATTCTGTGTGGCACAAGATTAAATAGAGGAGACATAACATATAGAAACAAACTTGATTCTGAAAGATAAACTTGAATTGTTTGTTCGATTTTTTTATAATTCATGATTGAGATTTTCCAAAGACCATTACTTAAAATCATCCACCTTTCCGGGTATTCTAGTATCAAATTTTTTTCACAATTTTCCAGGATTGCTGGTATCAGATTTTTCCAGGATTTCGAGAACCCCATGTAAAGACTGATTTTTGTTCCTCCAAGTTAATACAACACAAGTTCAAACATATACAAATATCATTCTAAGAAGAAAAGAATTCAATTACACAATACATAAGATATTATTAGTTGTATGGTTAATTTACAAAATACTATGATTTAAAAAATTCGAACAAACTTAATTACAATGACAAAAACACAGCATTGCAATGTCTATCTGAATTTTCTTGAATCTAAATTTTACAGATTAAAACTTTTACTGTGTATATAATTAAGAGAATAATAAAAATTTTGGTTAAGGTAAACATAAAAATACTGAGAGTACAGTTTGTCATGTAGTCTTTCACACTGAACCTTTTTCAGGTGCTTTTTTTGTTGCAACAAAGGTACTGAAACCCAATTTTTAGTACTGTAAGATTTTAGACTTACCACTGAGCCACTAGGAGGCTTCTAGTGCTTTCTCTAATGTATTTTGTCAATTCATTTGTAACTTGTTTAGAGCCTTCTTCAGGTGCTTTCTCTACAGTATTTTGCCAGTTTATTTGTAGCTTCTTTAGAACATTCTTTAGGTGCTTTCTCTATTGTAGCTTGTCAGTTCATTTATAGCTTCATTAGCCCAAGCACTTGAAGAAGGCTCATAGCTGAAAATGTGTATACTGTTTAAATAAAAAGTGATTTTTTTTTTTCATTTTGAGAATGTGTATCATTAAATTTCTACTACAAAAAATATCTTGGATTTCTCTATTAAGTAGCTGAGTCAGGAATTATGAGCTTGGTTTTACTTGGAGAAAAATAATAGTGATTTACAATGAGTAGAAATATCCAAAAATATTGTCATACAACAAAGAGCACTGTGTTTTAAAGCTGAAAGATATGGAGTACATACAATACGAGCTGTTGTGCGCTGTATTTGAGGAGGATTAACCTTGCTAATAGTTGTACATTTGCCACTTTTGTACGACAGCCAGTAAAGTGGATCTTCAGCAGCTTGAGCACAGTCACTTCGTAAACTACACCTAAAGACGAAACAGAAGCATGGTTTACATTAGGTACATTAGAACTTATTACAAAAATGGATAATATGATATAATTAAACACTTTCATCAATAACAGAATAGATAATCAACTATAAGACAGTGAAATAAATGATGAGCAATTTTTGCATGCAATGTTTTTTTTAAAAAAATTTTTTAATTACTACTAGTTATCAATAATACTTATAGAAGCAGATACTCTGTTTGAAACTATGTCACCTCGGTGAAATTGGTTGACGCCATTGTTTTGGTTTTTGAATTATCACGTGGATATTTTTATCTAACTGGTTTCAATATTTACAGGATCAAACCCAAAGAATTACGAAAAACCTAATCCTACTTGTTTTCTAACGAGCACCAGCCACAGTAAGGATCCTGGGCTCCAAGACAAGTGCGGCAACTGTTGTACATTTGGCACTCCTGGACTTTTACCATTGTGAGCTGGAATAAATAAAAGCGTAATGAAATGTTATCATCTGTTTCAGGAGATAATTATCAAACATAAAACCTTAAGAAACACAGATAATAGGATTGTCACCATTACTCCGATAACCGGGTGTGGTTCGATTTGATGCCCTAACAGGTTAAAACATTTTCCTAACTGCTATTAGAAACCATTGTTTCTTGTTTTATTTTATATATCTAGTTTTATTTATGTGTCGCGTTAAAATCTGATTGTAGTTGTAGTTTGCTTGCTTGGTCATAACCACATGCAACAGATAGTGGAGGTGGTAACCTTAATGTGTAAGCCTTGTCCAATTTATTTCATGCATTTTGTTCTGAAATGGACAACTGATCTATTTATTTTATACCTAGTTTCTATTAATACCATCCTAACTATCTTGTTTACATTGTTTTTGAAGGTTTGATATTAGTCATCCCTATATTTACTTCCTTTTTTGAAAAGTTT